CCCCCGCTGAACAGACCCATAAAACAGTCTCTGGAAGCGCCTGGCCACCCCTGCTGGTCAGAGACCGTATTGCACTGAAGTAAGGACACGTGTAAGCAGGCATGTGACTGCATGCACACGGGTATTCACACGCACACATGTACATGCCCACAGGCACATAGGCAAGTGCATGCTAACGTGTGTACATGCATGCACATGTACATGCATTTATATATCTGTACACACCCCGAGGGCAATCCACACGTGTGTATAAGCTCATGTGTGCATGAAATGTAAAAACCACATACATGCACACTTGTACACAAACAGGTGTGCCTCGGCACTCAGGCACTCACGGGCACACGTGTGCACTAAAGTACAGACGGGCAGACGTGTGTCATGTCATTGCCTTACGTGGTGCCAGCAAAGGATAGACAGGCCGCTAGGCACACAGAGCAGGCGTGCACCCCACCCAGTCCACGGCATCATGGCAGGTCGGGGCGCCGCCAGGTCCCGCCAGCCTCCGTGTGGCACACATGGAATGTCCTCCTTTGCCTCTTGACGCCTGGAGAGCAGAGCACTTCCTCATGCCAGAGTCACCCAACTATTGCCAGTCACCTCCTGCACTGTGAGTCACCTCCATGGGTATCCTGGGCTCCTCCTTCAGCTCCTCCCTCAGCTCCTCCTCCCTCAGCTCCTCCCTCAGCTCCTCCCTCATTCCCTCAGCTCCTCCTCCCTCAGCTCCTCCTCCCTCAGCACCTTCAGCCGGCCCCTCCTTTGGCACCTGGCACTGATGATGTGGGCGCTCTCCCCCAAGGCAGGCATGAGCACAAAATGGGAGTGCAGAGCCCAGTGCTGGGCAGGGGGCAGGTGCTGGTGCACGCTCCTCCCCCTACTCCCTGCTGCCAGCCCTGCCCCATGGCCCCCACGCCTTGGCTCCCCTTTCTGAGCCTGGACCCTACAGACAAGTCTCCCTGCTCCAGGCAGGGGCTGGACGCTCTCAGGGTCTCTCCTGGAGGATGTGGGGAGGGGGGTGGGGTGCAGAGTCAGCAGTTGGGGGATTGGGGCCATGCTAGCCCGATTAGAAGGGCTGGGGCTGAGCTCGATTCACCTGTCCTTGTCTCTGATTGGCTCCTGGGTACCCCCCCGCACCCAAATCCACGAAGCAGCCCCGCCAGGGCCTGCACAGCTCTGGGGAGCCAGTCGACTGCTGGCACAGTCCCGGGGCCAGAGGGTGTCCCGGGAGGCCGGAGCTGGCC